AAGTTTGGGAGCTCAAAAAGCCTGATGTCTGGCTTCAGGATGGACCCGCTGCTAAACCACACCATCAGCATCTCTATCCCAGCATTCCCTTTGTTGAAAGGAGTTTTCCCTATATAGGATGGCTTCCTTCTCCGGCCTTCTGTGGTTCTCATTTGAAGAACATAAATCGTCAACACAGCTGCCATGGTCCAGCCCCGTCCTGGCCTTGAGCTCTGGCTAGCTCCTCTTTCTTCTTCCCTGCATTCCAGCCATTCCTTAGCCTTTCCACCATTCCTTAGCAGTGCCACACTTCCTCATCCCATGTGACCTTGGCAGTACTCCTCCCTCCATCTGAAACACTCATCCCTCACTCAGTGGACCCTTGCCAGTCCCCCACATCTCAACCCAGGCATCACGAACTCACCAAAGCTTTTCCAGACCCCCTGACTGGGTCGGGTAGTGCATTTGCTTTCCTGAGACACTCAGGAGAAGTACTGCATGATTGAGATCTGTGTCCCTATCTGGCCTCCGGCTTTCCTGAAGGTAGGGGCCACCCATTCCAGGCTCTGTTGTACCCCAGTGTTCCCCAACATGCTCCCTGGCACACAGGTGGCCTCCCACAGGGGACTGGGATGGACCTGACATGGGCATGAACGACCCTCAAGTATCCCCCATCCCAGTCCCCACTCTCTCTCCTTTTCCTCTTCCTGCCTCTTTGTTTCTTTACTTTCCCTTCCTTCCTCCCTCCTCATCCTTGCTAGTCATTCCCTCTTCCTTCCTGGGACTTGGACCTGCCTGTGACTCCCATGAACAGTGTTGAAGCCAACAGAAGAACAGTCGTGAGTTAAAGAAAAGAGAACGTTGTCATAGCTTGGTATAACGTGTTGGCCTCAAACTAGATCACCCCAAACTCAGGGCCTGCGGGGAGAATGTAGGACTCTGGTTCCCACTGTAGTAGTCTGCTAGGCTCCCGTGGGAAGTACCACAGACCATGTCTCAAACAACAGAAGTGTATTGCCTTGCAGTCCTGGGGTCCTGAAGTCCAAAACCACGGTATCGGCAGGGCTGGTTCCTTCTGAGAGTGGTGTGGGAAAGAGCTGTCCCAGGCCTCTCTCCATCTTATAGATGGCTGCTGGCTCCTTCTGAGGCTGTAAGGGAGGGATCTATTCCAGGCTCTGTCCATGACCTGGAGATGGCCCTCTTTTCCCTGTGTCTTCATCTCTTCGTCATCCCTCTAAATGTGTCTCTGTGTCCCAATTTCCCCATTTTATAAGGTCGCCAGTCATTCTGGATTAGGGCCCACCCTAATGACATCATTTAGACTTGATTTCCTCTGTAAAGGCGTCTCCAAATAAGGTCACATTCTGATATTCTGGGGGTTAGGACTTCAACATGCGAATTTAAGGAGAGGATATAGTTCAACTCATAACACCTGCCTTCCACCTGTCCATTGCCCCAACCCTTTTTGATTTATTGAAGGAGAAAAAAGGGACACATCATCTTCTGAAGAAGTTATGTGGGAGCCAGGGAACGGAAGCAGACGAGAGAGGAGTGTGAACCAGAGAAAGACACCCACGAGTGAGAAGGGAAAGGCTGACCTGACAAGCAGCTGAAACCCCAGCTGTCGCCTGGCCAAGAGGTTACATGCTGCTTCTCTGGTAATCGGCGTTCATACCCCAAATTAGCTGCTCACTAGCAGTGGGGCCTTTCCCCTCCCTTGTAACAGGCGGATAATGACCACACCTGACCAATGGGATAGCTCTGAAGACTGAGTGAGGAATGAGCATGAAGGGCTTGCCACTGTGCTGGGCACGTAATAACTCAGGGTGCAGCAGGTGTGGTGTGTGGTCCACCTCACTGCCAGTGGGGGGTGAGTCCCAGGAAAATGGCCATTCCGGAAGAAGGTGATGACAAGGAAGAAGCTGATGGTCACTGAGGCCAAATGACTCCATGTTCTTGTTCACAATAATGAAGAGAAAAGAACCAGAGTCATGGTCAGACTTCAGCTGTGGCCTATGGACCAAAGTCAGAATCACCTGGGCCCCACCCAGGAAATGTAGAATCCTGGGGCCCTCAGGAACCTGGCTAAATCAGGACTTCTGTGTGCAGGATCTTTACCTGATTTTTAAAACAAGCTCCCCTATGATTCTTATGCATGTGAAAGTTTGCAAACCACAGATCCTGAAGAGACAGAGATGAGTCTTGGCCAAAGGACCACCCACATCTGCACAGTCCTGGAGCAAGACGGGCATGCTCCTCAGACCTGCCCCCATCGCTAGCATTCCTTGGACAGATTCAGAGAGGTTGTCTTGAGCAACTGTGCGTAAAGCCAGGCAGAGTACCTGGCACACAGTAAGGGCTCAGGAAACACTAGCAACCAACACAGAAGCCCTTCGATTTCTGAATGCTCCCGAGATGAAAGCAAAACCCATGCCAGAGCCAAAGCTCTTCCATGCTGCCCCAAACGTGGCCATAGTGGTCACTCATAGAGTCTCACTTTGGACTTTGGAACAAATGGACTTGTGGACAGCCTTTTCAGACCCACCTTTCAGTAATAACAATGGCAGATACTCACATAGTACTCACTATAAGCCAGGCACTGTGCTAAGAGCATGACTCATTTGATCCTTTCACCAACAAGGATGGTACGTTATTACCCCATTTTACAGATGATGAAACTGAGGCATAAGGCCATGGGACTAATAAATAGCACAGTCTGAACTCGAACTCCAGGGAGGTCAGCTGCAGAATCTATGCACTTGGTCACTATGTTAGGCTGCCTCTCTTAAGTAGTGATATTTAGGAATCAGACAATTACTGTTCCCTTCCTTCCTCTTCTCTCCCTCTAGGCCACTGGTCCGATACTTGTCCTTGTCCCCATACCTTGGACTCTGCCTCCCAGCTGTGTTGGATATCCTGTCAGCCCAGGCCCATTCTCTGTTCCCTGCCCACCCAGGTAGGTGCCCTCCCTCCTCTGTGGTTGAGTGGGCTTGATCCAGCAGTACCTTGAGGTGGGACACCTTGGCAGTACCCAATGAACATTTGTTGATTAGCGGATCCTCTTGTAAGGAGAAAAACTCATTCGCCTAGAATTTGTGTCATGTGTAGGTGTTAGATTTACCTAAAACAGGGTATGTCTGTGGCACCAATGACTGTAGATTATTTTTCTAGTAGCTTAAATCAAGGAGTGTTGCATTAGCCAAGCAACACCGATCTGATCAAGTGGAAGGGGCATGCCTTCCAGTCCGCACCATCCCTGATTCCTAGAAGCTGGTACAGCACGCCTGGTAGCACCATGATCCTCCATAGTTGATGCAGGGGCCACAGAATGCATGTCAGCAGAGTCAGTGAGCACAGCCCCTGTCCTGGGATCAGGCATCCCTTCACTAAGGGTAGAGGAGCATATGATGTCCCTATCAGTCATCATGGTTGATGCTCCTGGCCTGTGACGTCACACCACCGAACGAAGCAGAGTGCCTCCTTAAATCCTTTTCGCAACCAGGTAAAAGCCATATATGTATGTCTGCACACCAGATTTGGGAGGCAGTTTACAAGAAACTCCGTGTTTCCTCCCTTAATTTTTTGTGCATTAACTTCGCTCTGGATTAAGTACCTCACTTGCCAATCCATTCACTCACACTAAAAAAGGCAGGGTCAACAGAAGAAAGTCTCCAGTGTGCGCCAGCCGCCCTCGGCAGCAAGTTGATGATCTTGCCTTCGGATATATAATCTCAAAAGGGGACTTTCCTCAGAAGCCCTCAATGACCAACACAAGGAAAACAAAGGAAAAGGGAATTTGTGACTGTGAATCACAGTCTCCACCAAAATCCACACTCATTCACCCAGACAGCTCCTCACTGGACACCACTTTGCAATGCTAGGCTCATGTCTTTTCAACCCTCTGCCCCCGTCAGGCCGGCTCAGCCCCACACAGTGCTCGGCTCGTCCTCTGCCGGATGCTTGCATCTCCCACTGGTGTGCGCAGAGCTAAGTCATAAACAATCACATCCCTGTAGGGAATGAAAGGGAAAGTGCCCAAGCAGAAAAGAATGCAGAAAAGTGGGGGTGGATTGAAACAGCTGGAGAAAGCACAGAGTGTTTACATTCTGCCGAGTGCCCAGATGAGGTGGGTTCCTCTGGGGTCTCTGAAAAATGGGTACTTGATTGAATGCCTGAATTCTACCCCAGACCTGGAGGTCTGAATTTGTCAGGTGCTCCTGTCTAGAAGCCTTGAACACTTTGGGCACGTAATCGTGACGTGGGTGTGGCTAGCCTTTCACACACCTTCTCTGCAGTGCCTGTCTGCAGGGGTACGGAGAGGAGGAGGTGATTTTCTGAGAAGATCAGAAGGAAGGTAAGGAATAATCCAGGTGGCTGGGAGGGCCATCAGAATACCAGCCTATCCTATCGCATTCTGCTAATCCTATATTTCAGCCTGACTTTCATACGAAAGTGTTGATAAAATCTCAGGTGCCCACCCAGTGAACAGACTTCCTGAGGCAGCTGAACGTCCAGGCTCCCCCAGAGGGTGAGTGTGCCAGCCAGACTCACTAAAGCCACACAGATTTTGGCTTCTGCCGAACCAAAAGGGCCACATCCAGCACTTTAGTAAATGAGAACATTCTGCCCCCTCCAGTCCTCACCAGCCTGGCAGTGCAGGGAGGAAGGTGCTGGGCAGCATGGTGCATGATTACTTTTACAGTCTCTAAACTAGGTGCTATTTTTACCTGCCTGCGCCATCAGCAAGCCCTTCCCCCAGAGCAGTCTGCAGCACGGTTTAAACCCAGCCAGAGGGGAGCTTCTGGGTGCCCTTGCAGGACAGCTGGTTCCAGTGGGATCTGCTTCAAACATCCTACTGCCTTAACTTTTCCCGAGTTTTTTTCCATCTCCGCATCATTGTTGTCCTTGCACTGGGACACGCGCACACACACACACACACACACACACACACACACACACACACCCTCAGCTTTGCATATAAGCTGCTCTTTGTTCCCTAGAACAAATACTCAGATTCTTACCTGAAAAACTTGCAGGCTGAGGACGGTGCCTCTTCGTCCAAGGGGAAAGGGAATCAGCCGGGTGTCGTCCGCTCTGTGTCGTGGTCACTGTGCCGCCGCTGCTTCCCCAGCAGCCCCACACCGGCTCTCTGGACTTCTCGGTTGCTGCAGCTCTGTGTGGGGAGAGGGGACGGGCCGTGGCATGCACATCAGGTTGCTGGTCCGCCTCCAGACACCATGCCACAGAGCCGGCCACCAGTCCCGCGGGGCTGTGTGGGAAGCAGGGAGGCAGGCTGGGGGGCCAAGAATGTCAGCCTCTGGGTCTCTCGCTGGCCTTGTTGGTCAGCAGAGGGGACCTGCCTTTAGACAACAGCCCACGCGGACCCCACCCACAAGGACATGCACAAAGCTCTGCGTGCCCCCAGCTCTGACTCCAGCTGCAGGCCCAGGAATGCAGAGCTATTGGCCAGCCGGGAAGGAAGGCAGAGACAGCAGCAGCAACTGTCCTGGCTGTTATTTTAGCGTGGTTTGTGTTGGGGCAAATGGCTGAGCCGAATGGACTACTGGCCTGTCTGAGCAGAATCCTGTTTATTTGGAAGTCTCCGTCGCCAGGGAAACAGCAGGTCGTGGCTCAGAGACACTCCTCTGGAATCAGAAGGCTGCTGGATGAAAGAGTCCTTTTCTGTTCTGTCACCTGGCATCTCTACACAGGGTGTTGGTGTCTGTGTGTGGCAGAGTGTGTGTGTGTCTGTCTGTGCCATTCCTAGAGCCACGCCTTGCAAAGGGCATGTTGCAAAGCCACTCGAAGCAATGGCCATCCAGGCTAGGGCTGGAAGGGGCTGCAGAGCGAGCGTTTCTGTCATCCCTTACCCGTGGTCGAGCCTGTCACTGCTGAGCTAGGCAAACAAATCCTCAGGTGAGCCCAGCTCTAGGGGCGGGGATTTCGTTAAAGGACCTCGGGCATCATCTTTATGCCACTGGCCAGGACAGAGTGAGGAAGGGAGGAAGCCGCCTGGCTAGAAGGTAGGGAGTGAAGCTGGAAATTGGACTGAGAGGATATAGATCAGGAGGTATCTTTGAAGAGACTAAATGGAAACATGATTAATAGTTTCCTATAATGGATGAGAGTCCCTCCTCCTTAGGTAGGCATTTGAGCCTGGGAGGGGTGAGTGTGTGTGTGTGTGTCTAAGCCTACCCACCGACGATTCAGATAGACAGGTACAGGTGGACCTGTGAGAACTAGAAATAGGCTCTCTGTTCTCCACTTCCCCTTGGAAGGTGGAGGTGGAAGCCTGGTCTCCAAACGCAGCAGGTAGCTTCTGATGCATTCTGAAGGTAGCATCCACGGAGCCATATTTGTGCCTTCTGAGGGGATGAGTCTCAGAGAAGCTCATCCCCTGGGACAGAGACCTAGAAGCACACACATCACTTAAGTCTAGTAATGGGTGAGCCGCAGCTCTCCTGAAAGGGACTTGAAAAGTACAGAAAAAGTCGTTTTCACCAAATTTTATTACCTGGAACCTCCATGAACTGCCATGTACACTATTCAAAGGCACTCATAATTGGCTTTAAAACATAATAATCTTCCTGAGGATCTGAACATTGCCAAAGAACAAGTCAAAGGCAACGGACAGTTTTGAACAAACACGGACATCATTTGATTTACCTTTCAGCAGGATCCCTCTGGAATGAACTATAGAGGGTTAGGGTAGAAGCAGGAAAATCAACTAGGAGGATATTCCAATAACCCAGGAAAATGGTGCTGGTAGGATCACAGAGAGATAACAATGAGCAGCTGCTCATTAAGCATCCACAGGACACCAGATCCTCTACAGACCATGTAACAAAACCCGTCTCTTCCCTCAAAGCTCCTAGACTACTTTTAAACAATTTCTGCAGTGGTTACAACCTGTATGCAGGCCTCCTAGCACTGCAGAGGGTGGGTCTGGGAGAAGAAGAACATAACACTTTGCAGGACCCACAGAAACCCTAGGAGAAGCCTGGTAGGTTTATCCACAGAGGTGTGGCTGTGGCCAGAGTCGTCCACACCTAAAATGTTGTGGCTGATTCCGGAGGTGAGATTTTTCCTTCTGCATCCTAAGAGATTGACTCACAGTGGAGCCCTTGAGCAGTTGCTCGTAGAGAAAGTGGTTCTAAACCTCTTCTAAGAGGCGTAGCAGGGTGATAAAGGTAGATGTAGCATTGCTGTGCTTTTACTTATTCTGTACTCCGTGCCTCTGAAAATCAGACGTCCCTGGTTAATTTCACCAACATGACAGCAGAACCAGAGCATGACAGAATCAGCAGAATTCAAAACGCCCCCCAATAAATATTCTTCCTCTCCAGGCATAACCAACAAGCGATGGCTTCTTTTGCCTTGAATCTTGAGGCTGATAGTCAGTATTTGCTTTAAAAACTTCCCCTTTGTTCGTCCTGTTTACATAAATGATGTAGTTATTTGAAACACACCAGACACACTGCATTTTCTTTCTAATTTCATTTGACCTTGTTGGGACACGACAGATCCTAATCAGCTGACAGGAGAAATCAGATGCTGCATTATACTCTCTCCCCTAGCGAAGTATTTCCTTCTGTTTATGCCAAATCATGCAATTAAATGAAGGGCATGCTGGCCTCATGGTGAACCAACTGCCAGGATGTTGGGGGAGCGATTTGACAAACAGAGCAGAGAGAAATGCAGCAGACATTCACAGGAAATTGTATGAGTTGCCCGAGGAGACCCGAAAGCCACAAACATCATCAGAGCTGCAGGACAGAAACAGGGCCCAGTGGTTCTCAAGCAGGCGGTAGCCTGATCCCGTCATAATCCAAGAGCAGGAGCTCAGCCCATGGTCGCCTGTCTCTCCAGCGACTCCAGGAGCCCGTGCTTGGGAAGGACTCTAACCCACGTGGGCTTCCTCTGTCTGATATTGATCACCCATCACCTATTCTGTTTTATGTTTTCCTCGATCTCAGTTTTTCAATTTTTATTTTAAAATATTTTATCTTTACATAAAAGTAATGCTTCACACACATGACCAAAATGCATGACATACAGTAGGCTATAAAATGACCCTCACTAATCTCCTCTGAGGAGAAACTGGGGCGTTTTCCTGGAAACTCTGGGGGGAAATGGTTTCATCCATCTGAATGTGTATATGCTCAAAAACAATTTACTAGGTCCAGTGTCCTGCATTATTGTTTGGTTTTCCCTTAATAATAGATCTTTGCACATTTGTCTAGTCCATCCAAGCACCATTTTCCTGGGTTATTGGAATATCCTCCTAGTTGATTTTCCTGCTTCTACCCTAACCCTCTATAGTTCATTCCAGAGCGATCCTGCTGAAAGGTAAATCAAATCATGTCCGTGTTTGTTCAAAACTGTCCGTTGCCTTTGACTTGTTCTAAGAACAAAAGCTAAGCTAGCTCCCTCCACCTGCTTCCCTAATTCCACCAGCTATAAACTCCTTGCTCACTGTGTTCCAGTCATACTACTCATCTAGGCCAAACACAGTCCTGCCTCAGGACCTCTGCATCTGCTATTCCCTCTACCTAAAATGTACACATTTATTTTCTGCCCCTCTTTGCACAGCCAGCTATAGCTTATCATTCTTATCTCATTTCAGATTGCCTCTTCCCTGACCACTGGCTCTAAATCAGCCCCCATCACTGTCCTTCATATCCCCCTGCTTTCTTTTCCTTCATAGACCATACTGCCATCAGAACATTGTCATATTCTGTTATTTGCTTACTTGTTTCCTGTCTCCCCTACCACACACATTGGAATGTCAACTCCAAGAGGAAAGCAGGGATTTCATCTGTCTTTTCACCATTACATCCCTAGATGTATCTAGACCAGTGGTTCTCAAACATGGATGTGCATCAGAATCACCTGGAAGGTTTATTAAGACACAGATTGCTGGGCCCTGACTCCAAAGCTTCTAATTCAGGAGGTCTGGGGTGGACCTAGAAATCTGCACATCTAACAAGTACCCAGGTGATGGTGAAACTGCTGGTCCAGGGACCACACTTTGAGAAGCCCAGTCTAGACCATGCCTGGCATGCATCGGGTGTGGCATATATATTTAGTACATGAATATATGAGTCTACACACACACACACACACACACACACACACAAACACAAGGGTCTGCCACCGTCTTTGTCATGGCAGTTTCATTTCCACTTGATCATTTATATTGAGGACCGTAAGCCTCCTCAAATTCTTTGTGACAGAAGGCCCCAAGTTTTGTCAGCTAAAATGATTTAGCTCCACTGATCTGTCAGCAGATGAATAAAAACGTCAAGTTTTCTAGGCCCAGGGAGAGCCCGTGAGAGTTACCTCTTGTTCTCTGCCTCAGTAAGCCGTCAAACCAAAAGGTGGTACCGCTCTCACTAGACATGTGACAAAGAACTCTCCCAGAAGTAATCGCTCAGGCCTCCCCTGTAATTGTTTAATAATTGTCCTCTTGGCTTGGATTCAGCCTCGTGCACTGGAACATACATGCATAGTCTACCTGGACCCCAGGTTATGAAATGTAGAGTTCAGTGGTTTTTTCTGTGAGTCACAAAACCCCTGAGAATATGACAAGATCTATAACCCTTTCCCCCCCAAAAATGAACAGACACACACACACACACACACACACACACTTTTTTTTATATTCTTGCAAGTTACAAGATACCCCAAGTCCATCGTAACCCCAAATTTAAAACTCCTGATTTAATAACTGGCTATCTGTTTGGCAAAACAAACAAAAACAACCTGGATCCTCAGTTGAGTATTTAAACGTAAGAAGACAAACCTTAGAGGAAAACATTAGTTAAGTTCTATAAGATTTATAATCTTAGAATGGAGAATGCTTTTTGAAGCCTGACTTGAAACCCAGAAATGAAAACAGAATAGTGAGATCGATTCCATAAAATTGTAAATAATCCACACGGGAAAGAGGGCGTCAGAACTCCTCCTCGTGTAGTCTCTGTGGAGAAATCAAAGGATCCAGTCTTTTCCATCTGTATCCCTGCCCCTAAGATTGTCATGGCCGAGCTCTGCGGGAGAAGACCCGAGCTGATCAGAGCCCACGGGGGAGACCATATCCTTCAGGGAAGCCCTGTCACTGGGTTCATTATTTCATTAACCATGGTTTGGGTTTTGAAACAAGTATGAGATAGAATTCACATGCCATACAGTTCACCCATTTAAAGTAAACAGTCAAATGGTTTCAGTGTATTCACATGGTTGTGCAACCATCACCACTAATTTTAGAACATTTTTGTCATCCTGTAGAAGCAACCCCATACACAGTAGCAGTCACTCCCCATGCCCCCCTCCTGCCAGGCCTAGGCAACCACTCGTCTGCTTTCTGTCTGAAATGGTGTCATACAGTATGGACTGTTTTCCCTTAAAAAGCATAATGTCTTCAAGGTTCCTCGGTGTTATAGAGGAACTTCATTCCTAGTTCTTGCTGAGTAATATCTCATTGTCCAGAGATGCCACATCTTATGTACCCATTCTCCAGCCTGTGGCCGTGTGGCTTGTTTCACTGTTTGGGCCATGACAAATAATGCTGCTATGAACGTCTGTGTACAGATCTGTGTAGTTTTTGTGCGAACGTATAGTTTCATTTCTGTTGGGTCTAACGGTGCTTTTTCTCTTAAAGACTTAGCCAAAGAATTTTACTTATCCTATATGATTCTTTTGTCTTTAACTGTTTTCTGCAATAAACTTGAGAAGTGAGCAGGCTTGGACCCTGAGACCTCAGAGCTCTGCTAGCCCCAGTCTGGGCTCTGCGTAACCTCCGTGTAACGCGGGACCGGACTCAGTCTCACCGTGCCTCAGTTGTGAGAACGCTCTCGCTCTGACCCTCCCACGGGAACCTGGGAGGATTAATGAAATCGGTCAAGGAGGCTCTGCTCTTGAGAAGATGCTAACCCATATGAATAGGTCAGTGTGCATCAAGAAAACCACATACCCTCAAAGCAAGCGCCTCACGGGCCCCACAGGTGACGGCATCAGACGAGAGGCCAGGGGCTGGACGCTCGAGGCACAGGCAATACAAAAAGTACGTACCATTTTCTCAAGATTTTGGTTTCCTTCGAGATCAGAATTTGGTTGCTTTCCAAATCCTGCAAGCTACCCTCTGAAGGTAGAAATGTCAGGGCCATCTCCGTAATGATGGGCAGCCAGAAGGGCAAGCTTAGATTCTAAAGCCCACTTGCCAGCTCACGTTTCCTGAACGACTGCTCTCCCTTCATTTAATAGAAAAAATACCTCACTCTCTACAGAGCCCCAGAGGTATCTTGTTTGGGGAAATCCATGTGCCCCTGACTTTCGTTTTTGGCTTTGGGGTAGGTGAGTGTCTCCCCAGCCCTGGGTACAGTCTAATAAGGACCCTCCTATAAAGGCACTGGGAGCCCCACTGGCAGAGGATGGGTCCAAAATATCCAAGCTGACTCATGCCCTTTGGCCAGTCACCGGTGTTCCTTGGTCTTCAAAATCAGTCAGCTGGAAGCTCCCCTGATAAGCATGTCAGTGACAAGTTTAATAGGAAATGAGATGGGTTCCAACTCCCATGTCACCGCTTACTAGCTGTATGATATGGGACAAGTAGCTCAGTTCTCTGAGACTCAGTTTCCCCATATGTTAAATGGGGATAATGACAATACTTGTAGGATCATGGGGAGAGTTTCCTGAGATGATGCCCATGAGGGCAACACACAGTTTAAGCTCGATCTATGTCTGTTATAGTTATATCATATTACTTTTAAAATAAAAATATAGGATTTCAAGTTACCGAGCCATCCTCTCTCAGGTATTTGGGGATGCTGGATTTCTGTTGGTCACTTAATTGGGCACCTGCTAGGTATCAGACACCACAGAGAGAGCTAGAGATGAAATCTAATTCCCCCCAGGAATGTAAAATTCAAGCTGGGAGAGAAAGTAAGATAGAGTAAGCCTTACTAGTGACTGTCATTGCTGTCCAGATTCAGGGTGGGAGACAGCAGAAAGCCTGGATGGGCCTGGGCAGGCCTCCGAGGGGAGGCAGCCCTGAGGCTGGCCCTTGAGAGACAAGATGGGTTCACATCAGTGGAGCAGAGGGAGACCCAAGTGGGCAGGGGTGGGTGAGGGGGAAGGGGAGATCCGTGTGCGCACAGGCAGGTTGGGGCCCTGGGTGGGTCTCGGCGTGGTGAGTTGTCCAGGGACTGAGCCAGAGGCAAGCCTTCTGGTGGCTTTTCCACGGTCTGGGGTCTCTAGGAATGAGATGCCATGGGGTCTTTTAGTCACTTCTAATAATTATCCTTATTATGAGACTTGCTGTCACTAATTTTGTGGACTATAAGAGAGAGGAGGAGGAGTTATGTTGGAGGAACTTGAACTCTTAATCCAGATCATCGCAAAAAGAGCAACACGGAGTGGCCCGCATTGACCATGGCCGCCCTGTATCCAGCCCCCTCTCCTAGGACTAGCACGCTGGTTATCTCTGGGGACCCAGCCCTTCATTGCGTTCAGTCCGTGTGGTTTTGGGTGGGGATGACTACACCCCCGTGGCAGGGATGGGCACGGTGCCCACACTGGTTCAGAGAGATGTGACTCTGAGACTCTAGACTCTTGGGAATGGGACGTGGCTGTTCTTCTAGGGTGGCTGGGCTAGGAGGGTGTCAGCCTGGAGCCTCTGGTCGCCATTTCACCACTGCCGTCGGCGAGTCTTCCTGGGATAGAATGACCCAGGGCTGCAGAGCCAAGAAGTGGAGTCAGGATGCCATCATCTGGGCACCTGGATCCCGCCATACCAGAGCCTTTTCGCTTACATGAGGAAACAAATTTCCTCGTTTTGGCCCAAGTCTCTTCAAACTGGTTTCCAGTCTACTGTCGCTAAAAGCATCCTGATTCATTGGAGTAGTTACCTTGCTCCCACCTACATTTTGTTGACTTCTTCTTAGCATAGATATTTGTGGTCCATAGTCAAGGGGGTTCTGTAACAGGTTAGTGTTAGGCATGTGCAAGTGATGGTGACTTCTGCACACATCCCCATACGGGCACAGGTACCTTCATGTGCTTGGGAGGGGAAACCAAGACTCTGCGAGATTTGTCTTCTTTGTCCTGTGACTCTGCCTACGAGCAATTCTCCCCAAACCCTCCATTTTATTCCTCTTGTTCTCAGCCAAAGAAACGAGGCTCTGTTAAGTATATTTTGCAGCGTTCTAAGAAGCCAGGATGAGGTGTGGAAGGCGTGAGGGGGGAGGAAGCTCTGCACATCCCGTATGTGTTTTTTCCCTTTTGCCCAATAATAAGGAATGAGCTGACGTCCTTTTATTTCCTATGTCATGCAGGGCTTTTTAAAACTAAGCATTAATTCTACTGTAATGGGATTTGTCTAATGATTTCTTGGAAAACATCTTCTTGGATCTCAGCAAAGATAATTCACTTGGTGGGAATCATTTCCTGCTTCCCCGCTAAGAACTAGACCTAGCCAGTTCTTTCTGGGAGCAAATTGGCCTTAAATGAGAGGAGAGAGGACAGGTATTTGAAGCTAGCCTCCTTCACGGAGACTGCAGCCTGCCACGGTCCCAGGTCAGGGCAGAGAAGAGGCAGAAGCAGGGCAGGGGAGAGCATTCGTGCCGGACAGGAGCATGAAGCCAAGCATAACATCTGCAGTACTGAGCCCCTCGGGGAAAGGAATGCACTCACCTCTTTGCTTTGGCTCTGAGGCACTTTCTTTCCGGGGTGGGGGTGGCGGGCGAGGCCTCAGCAGGCTACCAGTCCACACGGAGCTAGCCGGAGCTAGCAGGCAGGCCGCTGCGGGAGGGAGTTCCCATTCTCCATCAGAAGGGAGTGTCCTTCCCCAAAAGGAGGCGAGGCCCTCATTCCCCTGGAGTCAGGCTGTTGGTTCGACTGGCTCGCTCATCCTCTCTTTCCTGCTCCCTCTCCCATGTGAATGGAGCTCAAGGGAGTCCTAAGAGGAGGGCTGAGTGCAAAGCACGCACCACACCCGCCCTGATACAGGTTGTTTTCCCAGCCCCAAAAGCCCAAAGACGGAGGCAGCTGAGTATGCTGGGAGGCCACCCCCCCACCCCGGGCCTCCAGCAGTGCGGCTGATGCTGGTGTACCCACAGAAAGCCCAAGGACAAGCACTTGCGTATTTATTTCTCCCCTCTCGTGTGATCTTATTTTTGGACGGAACACAAAAGCTATTTGGAGGCTGGATAGCTGCCAGGTGAAAGGACCGGTATCTTATCCAAGTTGTCTCCATGCCTCTCGCTGAACTAGTCCCTGTTACCTTTCCCTGTATACGGCGGAACTCTGGGGGCCTTGCTCTGGACCTGACTTTTCATATATCCCAGCAATTAGTCCCAATTACTAATTTTAGGTCAGCTAGTTCCGCACCCGCCCCCCCCTCCCATGAGGTTTCACAAAGGATACATACAATGAGCAATGCCATTACTTTTCTGACTGAGGCCGGTGGACCTGTCATACGGTCAACATAGATATGGCCGCCACATACACACTATCTTAGACATCAAGACCCTCTTCTCAGTACCGGCTGGGACCTTCAGGCCTGGGAGGCGGTCAGGAGCAAAGTGCAGGAACAGAGCCAGCCTGTAGCACGGAAGCGCCCTGATTCCCCGCTCCCCCAACCCTGCTGTTTCTGCTTCTAACTCCTAGGCTTATGGAACTTAAAACCTTTTAATGGCTTGGTTTTTCACCTCCGATTTTTCCTCTTCAGACATGAATGGAAAGTTCTGAAACACTCATGCCTGACAAATGCTGTATCATCATCTTCACCATCATCACTGTTAACTTATTAAGCTCTTGCTACATGCCATTCCTATGCCGAGCCCTCTCCCTGCGCTGGCTCATCTCTCCTGCTGGCAGCCCTCTGTGGAAGGGACTGTGGTTCCGATGGACAGCCCGAGAAGCAGGGGCTGGGAAAGGTGGGCTTGCCGAGGAGAGATCCAAGCCCTCCTCATCTGTCTGATTCCAGAGCAGGAGTGTTTGGCCCCTTTGCTTACTGTCTGCTGAGCTATAAATTACTGAGATTTCACTCTTGTTTTCATTTCCTAAGAGGAAAATAAAAAATCCTCACAGTTGATTCAGACGCATGACTTCACTCTTCAATTTCTTTCCTAAACCCAGTTCTTGAAGCAGAGAGAGAAAGAGGTTTTCATCTGTTTACAGTCCCAGACCCTGATTCTAGATACAGGAGGGAGAATCTCTAGCCTCCATTCTCCTGGGAGCCGGTCTCCTACGGCTAATTCACGGTGCGAACACATGCACACCAGACAGGACTGGGCCAGGCCTCCCCTGCCGGGCTCCCTAACTGCATCTAGGTGGAATTGGCCTTTCCTGTCCGGAAAAGGAGAGTGCCAGTGACAGAGTCCATCAGCTTGTCCAACACTGACCCCTTCGGGCCACTCTGCTGCATTACTCCCAGGATGGTGGTCAAAACTTCAGAAGGGGCAAGGATTATTTTTAGAGAATTGGCTTCCATTTTCTCAGTTTCTCTAGGCACCGTTTCCTCAAACTGATTTGCCTGAGAAAGTGTCTGTGTTGGTAATAATCCTTCCCCTACTGGAAAGCATACCCCTCACTCCACAAATCTTACTAAGGGGCAGTTGCTCCAAATATAAGTATCTCCAGGTCCACGTTCCCCAAACTGGAAACTTCCTTTACTAATTTAATTCAGCTTCCTTTCATGATTAATGAAGGCATTTTTTGGTATGTAACAAAACTCTCTTCCATTCCTTGATTTTAAAAGAAAGCACTGTGAAGGCAAATCCCATAGGGAATATTAGAAATAATAAGAGATTAAGAGGTATATTTAAAGAATGATGGCACAGCTTAATTTTTCATTCCCAATATTTACACTGTGCTGGAAGTTATTATCTTGAAGCCAAATGAACCCAATGATGAACATGTAACGTATCAACTTTAGAATGTAGGTATAGGTAACATTTTTCAGAATTGTTTCAGAAGGCACAGAACACAGATGGTTGAAGATCATTGTACCCTGAGCTAGCCATGGCTGACTGATAACAAACTGTTGTCCGTCCATCCAACAGAATTGAGCACCTACTGCATGTCAGGCATTGTTTCCAGCACTAGATGGAAACATCATGAGCAAAACCCGACATGTTACATGCCAGATTCTTACTTGTGGCTACCTCTGGGGAGCTGAGTGAGGCAACGTGCTTAATTTAATAATTACCCAAATAACCCTAAAATTCTACTTTGGTAAGTACTACTAAGGAGGGGCATTTGGTGAGTAGAGAATGTAGAATGGAGACTGACAAAAAATAATGAGGATGGGCCCATTTCATGAAGGAAATGGCAGGGAAGGTGGCCCTAGGGAAATGATGTCTGAACCAAGAACATAGATTCTCTATGAAAGGACTCTGAGGACCCAAGAAGAAGGGCCCTGGTAGTATGGCAGCATCAGAAGGAGGAGGATCAACCTCTATAGAGTAGGTTGTTTTGAGAAAGGGCCTTTTCCTTTACACAAGTACAACCCATGTTATAAATCCATGGTTCTCAACTGGGAGTGATTTATTTCCCAGGGGACATTTGGCAATTTCTGCCGACAGAGGTGGTTGCTGCAACCGGGGTGGCGCTAGTGGCTTCTAGAGGGTAGAGAGCAGGGTTGCTGCTAAACATTCTACAATATATAGGACAGCAGCCCCCACGACAAAATGTAGCCTCCAAAGTCAGTAGTGCTGAGGTTGAGAAATTCTGTTATAGATGAGGGCAGGGCAGGCCCGACACCCGTCTGCAGTGGATGTGGATTCATTTGTTCATTCATTCAACAAATACTTAGTGAGTGCTCGCTATGCTTGAGACCCTACTTGGGGTTTATCTGAGGCATACCCTTAACGAATATTGTCACCTCAAACGGCCAGCCTGGTTGTACTCCTGTGACCCAGCCTAAAATTGTCACCATCCAGATAGTGGCAAAATTGGTCTTACTGTCTGTAGAAAGAAGAGATAACAAGGTATGGACATTATCAGTAAGATGGTCACTGAGGCATTGTAACAGTGGAAACAACCCAAATATCCGTCAGTAGGGGAATGGTTACATAATTCTAGCACAGCCATATATTAGCGGTCCAATCAAAAGGAAAGAAAGAAAAGATGACACAGAAAATAACCATGAAGATATTATTAACGGGGAAAAAATTTTGGAATAGTGGGTAGGGTATGATTGATGTGATTTATGTTTTTAAATTGGTTTGTGCGTGTGTTTGCATGTGCATGCAAGGACTGGAGAAATTGTCACCAAATTCTAATAATGGCTATCTCTAGGAAGTGGAAAAATAACCCTGGAACGTGTTCGGTGAGAATAGCCCTCTACCTGATTTCCTCCTTTCACATCAGTTAGATTCTCTCCAGTTTATCATCTCCAATACCAGCAATATTCAACCAGTCACCAACTTGTGGAGATCCTTCAACTTCCAGGACAGTATCCATTCCTTATTGTTAAATCCAAAGCCCTTCCAAACTTGCTTCCAGCCAGTCTACTTAGGGCTCTTCTTGGGAGCTGCTGTCCTTTACCAGCCTTGTTCCCACCCCCACCTCCCTGGAGCTTCAGCCATAGTGGATTCCTGGGAATTCATCAGGCCATACTCTTTCAAGATAGGCTCACCTCTGTGCCTGAAGAACAGTCCTCCATTTTTTATACCTGTATTAGTCAGGATAGACTAGGTTATACTGTGGTTATAATTAATCCCCAAATGTCAGTGACTTAAAATAACAAAGGTTTGTTTCTCATCAACTTGTCCCTTTTCAGGTTGGCTGGGGAACTCTGCTCCATATCATCCTTAATCAAGGACCCAGAGCTCAAGGAGGCCAAGGAACCCCAGAACTCTGCTGTCAGGAAGGAAAAAGGAGATACCTTTACTAATACACTAGCACCTAGAAGGTACTTCTGTTCACATTTCATTGGCCAAAACAAGTCCTATGGCCACACCTAACTTAAAATGAAACGGAGAATTTCAATCCTATTATTTTCTTGGAAGGTAGAGAGCAATAAATATTTGAGGAACCCGAATTCTGTAATTGTTGGGTGCAATATTCAATATATGTCCATTAAATCATTTGCTAATCATGTTCAAATAATCTGTATCCTTACTCATTTATCTGCTCACTTCATCCTGTGGTTTTATCAATCTTAGCTTCATATTTTAAAAAAACTATTTGTGTATTTGAGAGAGAGAGAGAGCAAGCAGGGGAGAGGGGTAGAGTGAGAGGGAGAGAGAGAATCTCAAGCAGACTCCCTGCTGAGCACAGAGCCCAATGCAGGGCTCGATCTCATGACCCTGAGGTCATGACCTGCACCAAAATCAAGAGTCAGGCGCTTAACTGATTGAGCCACCCAGGGGCTCCTTGGCTTCATATTTTTAAAGCTACATTATAAGACGTGTACAAGTTTTATAATCACTGTGTCTTCCTTGTGAATTGAATTTTTTATTATTATGATGTATCTTTTTTTAGCTGTAGTAATGATTTTTGCCTTAAAATATAATTTGATATTAACATATACTATTAATGTTAATATAATTTTGGTTAATATTTACATATTTTCCACCCTCTTAACATTTTTAAAATTAATGTTTAAGATGTGTTTCTAGTTAGTATGTAGATTTTTTTATCCAGTTCAATACTCTTTCACTTTGAAGTATTTTGTCCATTGACATTTAATGTAATTACCGATATATTTGGATTTAAATCTGCCGTCTTATTGTTTTTATTTGTCCCATAGGTCCTACATTCTTTTTGTCCTCCTCTCTTTCTTGTTTTGGTGTGGTCAAATATTCTATATTTCTCTCTATTACCTTGGAAGTTATACGTCTTTTACTACTCTTTTAGAGGTTATTCTAGATAACAACATGTGTCATTGACTTATCAAAGTCTAATGTTAATTGGTATTTTTATCTTCTTCCACAGTAATACAAGGATCTCAGGCCATTTTAATTTCATTTACCCCTCCCTTCTGATTTATATGTACTTGTTATGTATTTAAAAAGTTTAAATCCCCAGTGGACATTGTTATGTTATTTTGTATAGTCTAATTCATTTGGATTCTTCAAATTAGCTTTTGCATT